CCAATTCGGCAACATCGCAGCGAGCGACACCGTCACCACGCCAATTAGGACTCTAATTCCTTTTCTCATCTGTACTCCACCTTTCTCTCTACACGCCATGGCCCGCTACAAGCCCCTCCTCACCCTCCTCGCCCTCCCTCTCGCCCGGGGTGCCATAACAGTCTACCAAGCCCCCGGCCAAGCAGCCTTCGCCACCGGCTCCAGCTCCGCCGCAGCATCCGCGTACACGGGTGCAGCGGCGTACAACCCCACCACGCTCGTCGCGCCGCCCGTCCCCACCCCCACTGTCCCTCGAGCTTTCCGATACAGCTGAATAATGGGGGCACGCCGGGGGTGAGTATCGTGCAGGGGGGGATTTCGTGGGGTTTAGTATTGAGATGAGTGTTAGTAACCAAGTTTGTGAGTCTGCGTCGGGGTTCTCTGCCCTCGGGTCCCTCCCTACTTTGAGCGAGAATGGAGAGGTTAATATTTTTGATGCAGTGGGCAAAAACGCGACGCACATCCAGGTGCCGTTCCTCAACCTCATGGCCAATATCCAGCAGCGCGCCGGGTCGGTACGCGTACGCGTTGGTGGGAACTCGCAGGTCCGTTGTTTCCCCTCCGCCTCCCCATCCCCACTCCATTGTTCCCTTCCGCCCAAAGAAAACAAGGTGGAGCTAACACTTGCTCTTTACACCCAGGAATCAGCCACCCTCGTCCCCGCCGCATCCATCCCCGACGGCAAGATCCTCCAAAAGAACCTCACAGGTGTCACAGGCACGACGCAGACCCCGCCGTTGGAGTATAGCGATGAGCTGTTTTATATGGTGTGTTTTGCGTCTCTTCTCCGTATCTTGTATGGCGTTGGAGTCGTCGCCGTTCCCTCGTTGGATCTTTTGAGGGGGAGGATGGAGACGAGAGCGCCTCGTGTGCGTGTGCATGGGGACTACGAGGGGAGCCACGCCCTAGCTCATCTGCCCCTCACGCCTCGACGCCTCGACTCCAATATGGGGCTAGGGCTGGGGCGGGGGCGGGAGTTGGCGTAGTGCACCTCTACGAGGAGGCGAGTCGAGTCGCGGACCCTTGCCTTGCCTTGCATTGTGATGAGAGCGTCCGACAAGGATGGGGTTGGGTAGGGATGTGGAGACGGGCTCGACCTCGAGTTGGTGCACAGACAGATGGTGCTGTCGTTCTCGTTGTTGAGGTGTCGAAGAGTGGCTGACGTCGAAGGTGGTGAGAGTGCAAACGCGAGCGGCGGGGGAGGTGCGCGCTGCGCGACGTGCAACGTGTGTGCGACGCGGAGATGGCAGTGGAAGCGGTGCATGCGGCTCTCGAGGCAGAGACGATGGCGATGGTGGCGAGCTCAACCTTAGCGTTGTCAGCGCTAGTGGAGCGGGACAGTGGGATGGTGTCCTGCCTACTCTCGCCTCCCGCTCCTCCGCTCCCCTCCTCCTTCTCTTTCTTTCCTTTTTCTCATTCTTCCCTAATTTCCCCGCCTCTCTTTCTTCATCTTGTTATACATCTCTCCCCCACCCAATACTAACCCCCCTCCCTTTATAGATGTCAAACATATCCTCCCTCGTAAACGTAAACTGGTTCCTCAGCATCCCCTGGTTCGTCACGCAGCCGTTCGACCTCGCCATCGTCGGCGCCGCGGAGCGCATTTTGGGGGGGAGGGTTATTGGGTATCAGGTGGGTGTTCTGCGTCTGCGTTTTCCCCATAAAATGAGAGGGAGCGATGGTGATTTCTTTTGGGGAGAAGGGGAGAGGAGGGAGAGGGACGGGGTGGAGGGGTGGAGATGGCGTCCCTGAGCCTCGACATCCCCGAGCAACGACCCTGAGCCTCGATTGACGAGCGTCATCGACCTCATCGAGTGTTTCTCGTTTTTGGGTTTTGGGCAACGCGCCTGTCTTGTGGGCGAGGCGTCAATTGCGCGATGGTGACGAGCAGGGCGATTGTGAGCGAAGGTGTGCACGATGGTGGCGCTCGGGCTTAGTTTGCACATCGACGGATGTGATACGGCTCTGCGGCCGGTGCTGCATCGCGAGTTAGCGCACGTCTACGAGACGAGACGAGACGGTGACGGGCGCTCAAGCCCAAGGCGTGCCTTGCGATACGACCACCCAGTGATGCATGATGTAGGCGCCTCCCCTCAACGCCCGTACCACGCTGCAGCTGCGGCTCAAGTTAGCGCAGGCGCGTCCTCGAGACGTCGACGGGAGGCGCTTACTTTGCAGCATTGGCACTTTGTGTTTTCTCCCCCATTGCTTTGTGTTTGCCCCAGCGGAGGGCAGGGGTGAACGGGGATGCAGCGAGGGTGCAGAGAGAACTCCGCCACGAGCGTTTGAGGCGGACTCGAGGTGTTCGAGGCGGTTTTGACGGTAATGGTGGCGTTGACGACGGGGAGGTGCCGGCATCGATGCGAAAGCGGACGGAGCGGGCAAGGTGGTGCGAGTGTCTGGACGACGGGAGAGGTGGTGCGAGGAAGCCTCGTGTCTGGAGACGATGACGATGGCGATGGGGGGTCGGTGACGCACGCACGAGTGCGGGATGGTGTCGTCGTCGCCTTTCCCTCCCCCCCTTCTTTACTTTTTACAGTGTGGAGTGCAGCGGTGCACCATGCATTACGTCCGCTTCCTACCTCATTTGCTCAAACTGCTAACTAAGATTATTTTATTGGTGCTGTGAGGTGAAATTTGGAAAAAAAAAAAAAAAAAAAAGGTGAGCAGATGGGCAGATGGATTGATATGGGTATGCGTACCTGTTTCCTTGCTGAGAGATTGGGGAATAATTGAGAGCTTATATTGAATTGTTGAATTGTAAGAAAGGAAAAAGGAGGGAAAAGCCTTCGAATACGCTGGATGCGGGGAGTCAAACCCCGACGGCTGCTTTGCTACATGGCTAGAAGATGATGGAGTCCAGCAGTGCGCGTCTGCTTCTCATCCTCGTTTACTCAAGCTGCTAGATAGGACAATATTATTGGGGAGTTTAAAAAGAAGAAACAAAAAACTCATTCAACACGCCATGCGGACGCGGGGAGTCGAACTTTTGACAACTGCTCAACCCTGTGCTAGACCACTAATGAAATGCAGTGGTGCCCCACGCACCACGTCCGCTTGCTACCCTCATTTAATCAAGCTGGCAAGTACGATGGCTTTATATACAATTGGCGCCATGAGAACAAAAGAGCCATAAGATGGATCAGAGTCAAACCTCGAATCCTTGCGGGCTGCAATTGCAAGAATAATTGACTGCAATTACCAGTGGTACCGCCAGCCATGTTTGAGGCCAGCAGCCCGTTGAATTGCGAGACCCCCCCAAAAAAAAAACTGGATCAAAATCATGAGGACGCGGGGAATCGAACGCCGGCAGCTGCTTCAATTTTCGGTTTTTTATGGCATGGCAATGAAATACGGCAGTGCCCCGCGCACCACGTCCGCATTCCAATCCTTGATTAGCCTCAAATTTGCGTTGAACCACAAAGAAATAAAAATAAAAAACAGTGCCTGTGAGGGTTGTTATGTTGACGCGGGGAGTCGAACCCCGACAACTGCTTCAATGTGGGTTGATGGATCCAGTGAATGAAATGCAGCGGTGCACCGTGCACCACGTCCGCTTCCTACCTTTGTTTCCTTAAGCTACTAGCTAGAGAATATTATAATTTTATTGGGGTCGTGAGGTGAAAAAAATAACTAGGACCGCTGATTTCAAATTCTTTTTGGCTTACTGGATGCATAATTGAGTTGCAGTTTGAAAGCAGCTTTACTGTTGGGGGGTGCAAAAAAAAAGAACGGTATAAAAACAACAACAGAGCTAGTGCCATGCGGACGCGGGGAGTCGAACCGCTTCAACTGTCTCAAATTTGGAGAATAAATCCGCATGAAATGCAGCAGTGCGCCGTGCACCACGTCCGCTCCCTTTACTTATTTCTTTCTTCTTGTAAGCGAGATGAAATTTACTCACTGCAAGAGAGTAAAGAAGGATGTATGAAAACACCGAATGCGGATGCGGGGAGTCGAACCCCGACAGCTGCTTCAATTCTCTTTCATATAATATTAAGAAATGCAGCGGTGTACATCCGCATTCCACATCCTCCTTTCTGCCACTCAGATCAGTTACAGGTTGAGTTGAATCACGAAGAAGAAGAAAAAAGGACCGAATTACCGAATGCAAACGTGGGGAGCCGGACCCCTGCAGCTGCTTAAATTTTCGAATTCACTGGGGTATGAAATGCAGCCGCGCGGTGCACCGTGCACCACGTCCGCTTGCTACCATCATTTAATCAAGTTGCTATCTAGGATGATGTTATTGGTACGATTAGTTGAAAAAGGTGGCCAGATGCCTCGGACTTGAATCTTGATTTCCTGGAGGTAGCCTTAATTGTCGGGATAACGGAGACGCCGCTTGAAACCGGCTGTAATGTTGACCGTGGCAACCAAAAAAAAACGAGCTGACAGCTGCATGCGGACGCGGGGAGTCGAACCCCTTCAACTGCTCCAATTTTCGGGTTTCTGTACACATGAAATGCAGCGGTGCGCCGTGCACCACATCCGCTTCCTATCCTTGTTTTCTCAAACTGTAACTGGGATGATTTCTATTGCTTCGTTTTATGAGGTGAAAAGGTGGTCAGCTGTCTCGGAGTCAAGCCTTTTCACTGAATGGAACTGTGGGTATAATTGAGTCCGGATTTGAAAGCGGTTGAACTGTTGAATTGCGAAAAAAATAAAAATAAAAAAGTATTCTCTTGCATTTTCAGTGCGGACGCGGGGAGTCGAACCCCTTCAACTGCTTCAATTTCCTGTTCCATACAACCATGAAATGCGGCGGTGCACCGTGCACCACGTCCGCTTCTTACCCTTATATCTGCAAGCTGCTAATTGGCATGATTTCTCAATGCTTTGTGTTGAGAGGCCAAAAAGGTGGGCAGATGGAATGGAGTCGAATCGGCGAGATAATTGAGTCTGGCTTTGTCCTGTTGGATTGGGAGACAGAAAAAAAAGGGAACGATATCAATGGTGCATGCGGACGCGGGGAGTCGAACCCCGTCGGCTGCTGCAATTTCCCATTTCAAAAGACCTCACGAAATGCAGCGGTGCACCATGCACCACGTCCGCTTGCTACTCTTGTTTACTCAAGTCGCTAACTAGGAGGGCTTTATAAAATAATTTTCTTGTGTTATGAGAACAAAGGGCCATAAGATGGATCAGATTCAAACCTCGAATTCTTGCGGGCTGCAATTGTAAGAATAATTGACTGCAATTGGCAGTGGTACCGCAAGTCATGTTAGAAAGCAGTGGAGCATTGAATTGCGAGACCAACCAGATCCGCTTTTCCTCCCACTTTCATCATGTCTTGGAGTAAGTGAGATAAAAATCAGCGCTCGCGGGACGGGGAAAGCTGCGCTGCCAGCGAGCGGCCAACAACGGGTTATGTTTGCGGGGATCCGAGGGTGGTATGACTCTTGAGTTGCGATGATTACACCGACCACTTCATTTTTTTTTACCAACGCCTTCGTTGAACGATCGAGCGCTCGTTCAAGAACGACACCCGACGTTCGATCAGCGCTGTCGTGGCATCATACCGACAACCCGCGTGAGTCCGCCCTGTCCGCAGCCATCTATAAATAAAGAGATGTGAGCTATTTCCTTTGTTGTTCTGAAAATAGATATGTCGCAGCTCGACGTCGGAGGTTTAAGCGGAGTCCCGAGGGACGTGTCAGGAAGCCTCCGATGGTGAAGAGAGTTGAGAGATGCAGACGCGAGGAGTCGAACCACGACAGCTGCTTCAATTTTTTTGCAAGTCATCATGACTATGAAATGCAGTGGTAACACATCCGCTCCCTGTCTTCATTTAATTAAGCTGCTAATTAGGATGATTTTTATTCCTTCGTGTTAGGTGAAAAAGGTGGGGAGATGTCTCGGAGTCAAACCTTTAATTATTGCTTGTTGAAATGGTGGGTACAATTGAGTCCGGATTTGAAAGCAGTTGTACTGTTGAACGGTGGACCCGTGCAAAAAGAAACAAACAAAAAATGAATACTCAATCACTCATGCGGACGTGGGGAATTGAACCCCGGCAGCTGCTTTACTGATTGTATTTTTTGGTCACTATGAAATGCAGCGGTGCCCTGCACCACGTCCGCTTCCTGCCCTCATTCCTCAAACCGCTAGCTAGGAGAATCTCATTGGGATTGTGAGGTGAAAAGGTGGTCAGATGTCTCGGAGTTTAATCTCGATTTCCTGAGGTAGCTTTAATTGTCGGGATATCGGAGACGCCGCTTGAAACCCGCTGTAATGTTGACCGTGGCAACCAAAAAAAAAACGAGCTGACAGCTGCATGCGGACGCGGGGAGTCGAACCCCAGTAGCTGCTTCAAATTTCCGCTTCTCCGATGAAATGTAGCGGTGCACCGTGCACCACGTCTGCTTCTTACCCTTATATCTGCAAGCTGCTAACTGGCATAATTTCTCAATGCTTTGTGTTGAGAGGCCAAAAAGGTGGGCAGATGGAATGGAGTCGAATGGATGGAGGGAATCGGCGAGATAATTGAGTCTTGTTTTGTCCTATTGCGAGACAGAAAAACAGGGAATCATACAAATGGCGCATGCGGACGCGGGGAGTCGAACCCCGTCGGCTGCTGCAATTTCCCGTGTCAAAAGACCGCACGAAATGCAGCGGTGCACCATGCACCACGTCCACTTGCTACTCTTGTTTACTCAAGCCGCTAACTAAGATGGCTTTATAATTTTACTGGGGGCCATGAGAACTTGAGAAGAAGAAAAGCCATGAATGGATGGATCAGAGTCACTTTGTACGGGATGGAACTACAAGGGTAAGTAATTGAGTCGTCCTTTGAAAACAGCTACTACTGTGGACCAGTGCAAAAACATAGAACGAAAAAATACACTTCAAACTAGAGGATGCGGACGCGGGGAGTCGAACCCCAGCAACTGCCCCAATTTTCGGTTTCCCATACACATGAGATGCAGCGGCGCCCCGTGCACCACGTCCGCTTGCTACCCTCATTTCCTCAAGCTGCTAGCTAGAAGAGTTTTATTGGTGCTGTGACGTGCACACTGCAAAGCTATGATAGACAGACAGATGGCCAAGCCAAAACTCCTTGTGTTACATTTAAACAAGGAATGAGATGGAACTGCAAGGTCAATAAAGTCATGGCTCGAAAGCTTGAAGAGTTGAAAGAAAAAAGAAAAAGAAATTGATCGACGGCGTATACGGACGCGGGGAGTCGAACCCCATCTACTGCTGCAATTTTCTTCGATACAAGGTATGGAATGCAGCGGTGCCCCGTGCACTACGTCCGCTTGCTGCTCTGGTTTACTTGGACCTCCAAGTATTGGAGCTGCAAGCCACCGCCCAATGGCTACCTGTGTCGGAATGGAATTGTCCACAATTGTCGGGATAATTGAGGGCAGTGTCTGTCATGTAGCACGTCTTGAACTCATGATTTATGTGAAATGGGCTGAATTGTTGGATTGCACGACAGAAAAAAAAAAGAACAAAGCAACTCGACAACGTTATCAATGCGGACGCGGGGAGTCGAACCCCAGCAGCCGCTTCAATTTTCTTGCCAACCTCTAATGAAATGCAGCGGTGCACCGCGCACTACATCCGCTTTCCTCTCTCAATTACTCAACCTGCTAATAGGAGGATTTTATTGGCGCGATTAGTTGAAAAAGGTGGTCAGATGTCTACGAGTCAAACCTTTTTTTTGTACTGGATGGAACTTGGTGACAGCGGCCCGTCAGGAGTCTGTAAGTGCGAGTCCTGTTTGAAAGCAGTGCACCGTTGAGTTGCCAGACAGAAAGAAAGAAAGATAAGGAAAACGACAACAAAAAAGTTGTCAGGCCGGCGGAATGCGGACGCGGGGAGTCGAACCCCAGCAGCTGCTTCAATTTCCTGTTCCATACAACCATGAAATGCAGCGGTGCACCGTGCACCACGTCCGCTTCTTACCCTTATATCTGCAAGCTGCTAACTGGCATGATTTCTCAATGATTTGTGTTGAGAGGCCAAAAAAGTCATGGTGGGCAGATGGAATGGAGTCGAATGGATGGAGGGAATCGGCGAGATAATTGAGTCTTGCTTTGTCCTGTTGGATTGTTGGATTGCGAGACAGAAAAAAAAGGGAAAGATATCAATGGCGGATGCGGACGCGGGGAGTCGAACCCCTTCAACTGCTTCAACTGGTCCCTACTTTCGCAATGAGAGCAGCGGTGCGCTGCGCACCACGTCCGCTTTCCTCCCGCTCTCGTTATATATGGCTTTGTATGGGTGAGATAAACATCAGCGCTCACGGGGACGAGGAAAACTGCGCTGCCAGTGAGCGGCCAACAACGGGTGGTGTTTGCGGGGATCCGAGGGTGGTATGACACTCATTGGGTGATTTTGACTCTTGAGTTGCGATGATTACACTCACCACCTCAATTTTTTTTACAACAACCGCCTTCGTAGAACGATCGAGCGCGCCCAAGCGACTCGATCAGTGCTGTCGTGACATCATACCGACAGTCCGCGCTGTCCGCAGCCGTCTATAAATAAAGAGACGTTGTTCTATTTCTGAAAATAGCTCTATGTCGCAGCTCGACGTCGGAGGATTGTCAGGGCGATCCGATGTGCTCGGTGAACAGAGGGAGGCAAGTCGAGAGAGAGAGGAATCTGAATTGGGTGTTCTCTAGCAGAGGTAATGAAGCCACAGAGCAGGAGAGAGACGGACGAGAAAGGCTGAATTGCAATCACACGCACGCTGTCGAGTTATTTATAGGCATCGGCACCAATTCGGCAACATCGCAGCGAACGACACCGTCACCACGCCAATTACTGTAATTCTCATCTGTACTCCACCTTTCTCTTCTACACACCTTCCACGCCCTCCATGGCCCACCTCCGCCCACTCCTCGCCCTCCTCGCCCTCCCTCTCGCCCGGGCCGCCATAACAGTCTACCAAGCCCCCGGCCAAGCAGCCTTCGCCACCGGTTCGGCCGCCGCCGCCGCATCCGCATACACGGGCGCGGCGGCGTACAACCCCACCACACTCGTCGCGCCGCCTGTCCCCACCCCCGCTGTGCCCTCGAGCTTTCAGATACAGCTGAATAATGGGGGTACGCCGGGGGTGAGTATCGTGCAGGGGGGGATTTCGTGGGGTTTAGTATTGAGATGAGTGTTAGTAACCAAATTTGTGAGTCGTGTGCTGTATGAAATGGGAGAAGGGTTAATTGACGGACGTGGCAGTGGGCAAAAACGCGACGCACATCCAGGTGCCGTTCCTCAATTTGATGGCGAATATCCAGCAGCGCGCGGGGTCGGTGCGCGTACGCGTGGGCGGGAACTCGCAGGTGCGTCTTCTCTTCTGTCTCCCTTCCCCGCTCGCTCGCTCGCACCCAGGAATCAGCCACCCGCCTCCTCCATCCCCGTCGGCAAGATCCTGTCAAAGAACCTCACGGGCGTCACAGGCACGACGCAGACCCCGCCGTTGGAGTATAGCGATGAGTTGTGGTGTGTTTTTTTTCTTCTCCAAGCGTGGTGTTTTGGGAGAGAGAAGGGGAGACCGTGTGCGGGGACGACGAGATGTTGAGTCCGCTCTGTTCTTTGTCGAGGCCTCAGCTCGACCCCGATACGCCGCTGGGGCTGGGGCGGGAGTTGGCGTAGCGCACGTCTACGAGACGTTGAGGCGAGACGTGACGTTGAGCGAGTCGAGTCGAGTCTGTTCTTTGTCGACGCCGTGTGCCTGGGCCCCTCGACGTCTCGACGGCTTGACGCCGCTGAGCGCGCGCCTACGAGGAGGCGAGTCGCATAGCGCACGTCTTGCCTTTCGATGAGAGCGTCCGGTCGAGGAGGGGGTGTAGAGACGAGCTCGACGAGCCTCGAGCAACGACCATGAGCCTTGATTCACGAGCATCGTCGACCCTCGTTTCTCGTTTCTGTATTTGTGGGCCAGCCGGGCGGGGGCATGTGCGTGTGCGAGGCGGTGTGCATCGGCGTCGATGGCGCGATGGTGACGAGTACGTGTCGGTGGCGAAGATGTGCACGGCGCGCGGGGTGGGCTCGTGCTCGGGCTTCGTTTGCACGTCGACGGATGCGCCTCGACGCCAGATACGGCTCTGCTGCGGCGAGAGTTAGCATGCGTCTACGAGACGAGACGGCGATGAGCGCTCAAGCCCAAGGCGTACCTTGCGATACGACCATCCGATGCCGATGCGTGGTGGAGGCGCTGGTGCAGATGCCTCGACGTCGAATACTGCCCTGGTCTGGATTGTTAGCGCACTCCTATGCACGGGACGAGACGTCGACGGGTGTCGAGGCACTTATTTCTGGTGAACCTGGTCCGAGTAGCACTTGATCCAAATCAAACCAACTGTTTTTGCTGCTCGATGTTGGGTGCTTTTAAGTTTGCCTTGCGATCATATTACATTTCCAGACTTACGACGATATTGTTCTTTACGTTGTGCCCAGTATTACACTTCCATGCTTTGGCTCAAGGAGCTCATACGGCTACATACTCGCGTGCTATCTCATTATTCTCATTGTTCCTTCTCTCCGTAGTTTCGATATTCTGGAACTATTCCGGGGGCCAAACTCTGTTGCCTCTCTAATATCTCGAAATCCGACTAAGAAATACATATCACGCGTCGAACATCAAGACCCGAGCTTTCCAACCACAAAGATGATATGCATTTCCTTCGACCCCGAAGGTCTCCGTCATCGTTCAGTAATGACGCTTCAGAAAATCGATAGTCTCCACGATTTTTACCTGCATTTCAAGTTTATTTCTCGTGCCAGAACAGCAAAGGGCTCCTAGCCCCTGGGTTAAACGACAGAAGCATCCAATTGAGCAGAAGTGCGGTTTGCTCTGGACGGCGGTGAGCACTGTCTAGTTGATAACGCTTCCTCAGAGTAGGCGATTCTGGGTGGCAGGTTGTGCTTTTCAAATTGTAAATTTTTTTTCCATCTTGCAAACTTTTAGGACGCTATGAATAATGAAACCGAGGTGTGAACTTTCACCGGTGCCGACCATGCCGTCACCGTGTTGACTCCAAGGCTGTGCTCCGCTCTGTCTTACCTCCACTGCTCAAGGTCAAGCCTCGGACCTCATCCCTGCTTCTTCCTCGTATCTCCACTGGCTCAATGCCTTCACTCGCCGATCTCCCGACCTGTCGTCAGAAATGATCCCTGTGCTTGGAGTTTCGTGTCGCGGGAAAGTCTTTCCCTCAGTCTTGAGGCTGGCGCTCAATGACCGATTGGCGCCGATCATTCCCTGTTTTCCCAATGTCCAAAAATTAATGTACCACTAGTCCACCGGTAAAGGCATTCTCAAAGCGATGAAGGGGTATTGCAACCAAATCCATACTATCAACAATATTCTGTTATCGACGGATGTCGTCGAATGTAGGTGCTAATGGCGGCGTTTACCAGAACCAATCTCATCTGCGCATTCAGGTCTTCGCATCAGCATCCCAAACGTGAAACGAATTTCACTCTGGGAAAATATCACCCTGGTTAGTGAAGATACCTATTAACATAGCACAAATTGATTGTACAATCCATTAGGACACCCTGCGCCTATTGGAAGGCATGGAGAACCTATCGGAATTGCAAATCCGCCATCATACACAGGCGCGCTGGCCGCGCCAACCTTCGTTGGATGACTTGGTAGTACCCGCTCGACGGGTTCTAGCAACATCCAAGGCCGCCGGACGAAAGGAGCTCCGGATTATGGAATTTGAGGGGACCTATATGCACGATGTATTTTGCAAGGAGCGAGTCATAGTTATTGGCGGAGGCATCTGAACATCAATCCACACTATATTACTTGATGCTCCTTTTCGTGAGGATCATTTTTTCCTTTGGTATGTATGCTTAGACTTCAATTCAAAGGTGTCTTGCTGGTAGACTTCGTCTTTCTGGATTATAATTGGGTCTAGAGGGTCTAGAAGTGAAATCACAAAATTGGACTCCCAGAACGAAAGAAAAAAAGATTGGTAGTGGACACCGAATGCTGTGGGGAGTCGAGATTGAGGCGAGAGTTCCTCTCAAAGTCGCCTGGGCTCGTGAGAATGTTGCCTTGGGAAATCAGATTAGAGCATTTGAATACCATTTTTATGGAGACAAACTGTGGTCGGCCTGTGAAATAGCAATAAGAGGAGCGCGAAGACGAAACCAGAGTTGAGGGAAGCCATGGCTGAGCCGAGATCAAACCGGTTCAACTCCGGAGTTGAACCTTGAGCTTGTAGCCGCGGCCCGCGTGGGAAATCACCTGGTGGCATGTTCCGAAGGATAGCCGAATCCTGCCGAATCCTCTACAAATATATTGTTCTACAAAGTTTGACCATCGGAATCCGGGCCACTGAAAATTAAATTGTAAGCCCGAGACGCGACGATGCACGTGCTGGGAAAGTTGATCTACCGCCATGCCGAAAGAAATTCAACACACCAACAATTCAACCAGACAGAGAAAGCCATCAAAATCCACGCTTAGAGGTGGCTATATTCTGCCCTCGTGATCCAGTGGTTAAACTTGCCGACATTTCTCCTCTGTTGAACTTTGATTTCGCTCAGAAGACAGTATACCAAATTTTCGACAACTCAGTCTACAACTCAAAAGCCAGTTGAGCCTCAGCGCGAGACCATCATTTCAAGTTCTTATTCTCGCCGTGTTCCGGTTGGTTACGCGTGCGATTCGGGCCGTATTTTCAAGTGGCACGCCTGAAAGTCAGAGTGTCACCTGCAACTTCAGTTCCTGTCATCGAATGGCTCGCTTGTTTCGCGATGTTCGAGGGGGTGTAAAAATACAGGTGAGAGCTAGCCTTAAATGCGAGAAAGAGAGAGGTTTAAATTAAAGTAAAGGACGCAGTCGTAGCCTGATGCCGGCGGTTAGAACTTGAAGATAATACGTGCCCAGATTGATACAAATTTATTTGAACCCCAACTGTGTGCTTACCAGCCATTTTCT